AATCGTACCTTTTAGGTAGCGAAGAATTCTTCTAGTAACTTTCAAATGAGTGGAGGTAGGAGCTTCCATGAAGCGGCTTACTATTCCAACTGCAAAGAGTATATCTGGCCTGGTACAAGGCAAGTACCTCAAACTTCCCACAAGACTTTTCAAAAATGTGGGATCCACTTTTTATCCTTCATCAAACTTGGATAATTTTGTCCCACTCTCCATCAGTGTGTTCACGAGGTTGCAATCGAGCTTGTTGAACTTTTTCGATATCTCTTTTGTATAGCTTTCTTGAGAGATAAAAATTTCATCTCAAACTCACAGGACATATCTTTCTTAAAAGCTTCAAAAAAACTTGAGTTATTGCCCGTAAAAATAAGAACATCAACATAAAGACAAACAAGTAAGATATCTCCATTAGTATGAACTTTAAGGTAAAGAGCATATACATGGAGACAACAAGTAAACCCATTGTTTTGAAAATATTTGTCGATGCAACTATTCCATGCTCGTGGGGCTTGCTTTAATCCATATTAAGCTTTCTTCAAGCTCAACACTTTATCTTCATGGTTTTTGACCACGAAGCCCAATGGTTGTTCAACATAGACTTCTTCTTCAAGATAGCCATTCAAGAAGGCTGACTTGACATCTAGTTGATGGATCTTCCACTTCATTTGCGCCACCAAAGAGATCAGCGAACGAATCGTCTCCATGCGGGCAACAGGTGCATAGACTTCTTCATAGTCAATGCCTTGCCTTTTCTTGTTGCCTTTAGCCACAAGTCTTGCCTTGTATTTCTCCACATCTCCATCAGCATTCTTCTTTATTTTGTATACCCATTTCACTCCAATTGCTCGATGACCCTTAGGAAGAGTTGTTAACTCCCAAGTGTTGTTCTTCTCTATTGACTCAGTCTCCTCCTCCATGGCTTGTCTCCACTTTTTGTTTGTAACATCTTCATCAAAGTTCATTCGTTCACTGTCAGCAAAGAGACAACATAAAAAATCAAAATAAGTAACTTCTTCTGTGTCCTCATAGAGCTCTTGAATACTCCTTGTCCTTTGCGGCTGTTCATTTGAACTTTCTTGAGAAGAGGGAGATGCAACATTGGTTGGAGAAGGAGGTGGAGTTGTATCCTGCACAGGTTCCACGGTCTCTGGTTCTTCTTCATCACCAAAGTATGGAAGAAAATCATATGAAGTTTCTTCCTGAGCTTCCCAATCCCATGCCAATTCTTCATCAAATTCAACATCGCGACTTACCACCACCTTACCGCTGCTTGGGTTGTATAACTTGTAGCCTTTTGAACTCGTATCATAGCCAACAAATACATGCTTGACACTTCGATCGTCAAGCATTGCTCTCCCTTGATGTGGCACATGAGCATAGGCTATGCTCCCAAAGATTCTCAAATGTTGACACTTGGCTTTCTTCCACTCCATGCTTCTTGAGGGGTTTGTACTCTAACATTTCTTGTTGGAGACCTGTTGTTCAAATAAACTGCACAAGAAACAGCTTCGGCCCAAAATTCCTTGGGCATACTTTTAGCTTTCAACATACATCGAGCCATATTAAGAATCGTTCGATTCTTTCTCTCTGCAACTCCATTTTGTTGGGGTGAATAAGGTACCGTTAGAGGGCGACGAATTCCATGAGACTGACAAAAGTCATTAAATTCGTTTGAAGTGAATTCGCCTCCTCTATCGGACCTTAGAGCTTTAATTTCATAGCCACTTTCTTTCTCCACAAGTACTTTGAAATTTTTAAAAGCAGCAAAAGCTTCAGATTTTTGGTTCAAGAAATAAACCCAACTCTTTCTACTAAAGTCATCAATGAAAAGCAGAAAGTATCTACTTTTACCAAAAGAAGGTGGATTGATTGGTCCACACACATCAGTGTGAACAAGCTGGAGCGGCTTGGTTGATCTTGCAATGCCTCCTTTGGAAAACTCC